GGTTTAAATTTACTAATATAATTTTTAATAATATTATTATTTTTTATTTTTAATAATCTAACATCACCTAAATTATAAGATAATACAAGGTTTTTAATGTCTAATGGTAAATCATAAAATATCATAATATATTTAAATCTTTATTTTATTTTAAATGCTTTTTCAAATCTAACATAAAACATATTATTAACATCTTTGGAATTCATATTAACATAAAAGAAGGAGTATGGTTTATCATCTACCGCTTTATGATACATATTTAACAGTTGCTCTTTATCAACAATGGCGGAGTTTTCCTCAATGAATGACATTAACTCTGATACATTCTTTAACTTAAAGATATACAACGAACTAGAATTCAACCTAATGATTGGAGCAAGGACACGATATTTTTGAACACTTAAGCAAAAACTAATGGCGTCGTGTCTGCCTCTCGTTGCCAGTCCATGTAATAACTTGCTGTATCTAACAAATTTAGGGTCGTCTGCAAAATCATCAACAATGATTAAAATTGAATGTAGTTTCTTCATCTTCTGTTCTTTCATATAATGAATTATCTTTCTTTGTGTGTTAATTATTTCTTCCAGTTCTTCAGGTTGGTAGGTGTCATAATATAACTTTTCTTTTTCGTCATCAACCTTCATATTATCTTTTTGATATTTCTTGACTTCAACGAAGGTAGGGTCATTATGAACCGACGGGCTAAAAATGAATATACGGGCGAAGCAGTCCCTATAAACATTTAGGATAAGGTTTTGAATTAAAACTGTTTTGCCACCCGTTGATGAAGCAACAACAATTGAGCGAAAAGGTAGTTTTGGTACATGTTCATATTTAGATTGTTTGAAATCGTAATCAGTTATATTTATTGGTTTTATTATTGGAACATCAGACATAATAAAATAATATTAAAGTTATTTAGAAAATATTTTATATTTATTATTTTATATGAATAGAAGTTATTCGGATTATATTGATATAATAGATAAAGTAGAAAATATAGAACAAGTAATAATAACCGATAATAAAATTAAGAAATGTTGTTATTATTCATTAGAATTAATTAAGTTAGGAATACAATATATTAAAAATATAAATATTAATATAGATGGGAAGAAAGAAAAAGAATAAGTCCGAGCCAGTTGTTTCTTCGACTGATGAAGAAAAAGAAGAAATTGTTAAAGAAACATCAGTTATTGAGTTTGCTTGTCCAATGTGTAAAAAGATGTTAGAAATGAAAAATGAATTAGAAATTCAAAAGAAAGGAAATTGTAAATGTTCGTGTATTCCGACAAGTTTCAAACTAAGTAAAAACGATAAACGAATAAATATCGATAAAACCAAAGACAGTATCAATTTAGAAACAGATGTTCATAATATAACTTTTAAATGGGGTCGGCAAGCATCACCATCCGATAGTGGCGATAAGGAAACTCAGGAAACTGTTAAACAAATGATGAAAAAATAGTATTTAAAGAGTAGATTTAACATAATTGCAACATTTAGTTTTAAAAGTTTAGTTTTATAATTTAGTATATATGGAGGAACATTTAGCGAACATTGACAGTAGTTTAGAGTTGTTGTTTCCAAGATTAGAAAAAGTGTTGGAGCAAAATGAAAACATACTGAAAATCTTAAAGAGCTTGAATATTAAACCTACATATGATAACAATAACAATTATCAAGCAAAAGAAGTAGATAGAGACAGTAGCGAATACAAAAATAAACGAAACATTTATGTTAAAAAACTGAATGAAAAAATCATAAAAGAACCTAAACAATCAAGTCTGGATTACTATCAAGTCAAGTATAAAGAAGACACCAAGAAATACGTTTAATCATTAACTAACAAAATTTCGTGTCTCAAAAGCGGTTTGTTTATTCCTGCTACTTTGTAAGTTTTATTACCCATAATATCATATTCAATTTTATCGATATTGAATATTTTATTAGACCATTTAGAGTTATACTCCTTTCTGTCGGTGTAATTACCCCTTTTCTTTTGAAACACTTTTACCTTGTCGTTCTCCACTATTCTGGGATACTTTCTTTTGTTTTTTTCTCGTAGTTTAAGATTGACCTTTACATTTATTTCATTGTCGTCCTTGTGTGCTTCAGACGGTGTCATCCTTGTTGATGAGTGAGATGTGCTGTTATACTGTTTCAATGCCGGCGTTAGGGCGTCGGTCCATTTCATGTTGTTAAACCTAACTCTATCGTGAATTTTGTTTTTCATCGTTCTAATAAAACGCTCGGCCACATTTGCGTGGGTCTTCGTAACGATGTGGTTTATTCCTTCACTGTTGAAGAAATCCTGAACGTGATTTTTAGTTGCAAACGCTCCGTCGTCATCAGAATACACGGACATCGGATAACCCATCTTTTTAAAGCTTGCTCTCAACGCCTTCAAAACGTTCTCTCCGTCTCTTTCCTCCATCGGTATTACATCTGCTAATTTACTGAAGATGTCAATCACGACTAAAGCATACTGTGGAACGTTCTTGTCTTTTGCTAAAGGAGACATATGCATTATGTCTATTTGATATTCATATCGTGCGAATGGAGCGGTATAGGAATTAGTTCCTCTATAATTTTTGATTTGTTTATTTGGTTGTTTCTTTAAGAAAGACTTTACATCGTCTAATGTTATTGTTGGGTCTTCTTCCTTTGCCTTCTTGTGTGTCGCTTGTGTGCTTCCGAAACCCTCGTCTAAGTCGTAATAGATGTTGCTGATTATTTGGTCTTTTGTTAATCTCGCCATTATATTAAATTGTTAGAAAATATTTTTTCAATAAAAACCCCGCCCCTTAACATAAAATAAAAAACTACTTAAAGAAATATTAACTTATTATATTAAGTGAAAATATGACTGAAAATGTCGGAGTGATTGCTGACTTATCAAACTGGGTGCTATCAGACGAAGAAGATGATGATAATGACAGTTATAAAAAGGAATTAGATGACGAGTTAAACAAAATAAAGGATTTCGTCAAAAGACACCCTTTGCCATCAGTTGATGAAAACGAAGAATTCTGGAAAGATGTTATTAACAGGTTTAGGGATAATAGCGGATTAAACTTGATGACAATATACTCATTTGTTAGGTTTGACATCATGAAAGAAATGTATGAAAACCTAACAGATGAAAACATCATAAAAGACTGTGGTAAAAAGTTAAACCGAGATGGGCAGTTTAATGCTATGATTATTAATCACTATATCTTATCGGGAGCGATACGGAAACTAAACACAGAAGACAGTCTAGTAGATGGACAGATGCGAATTATTGAATTCTGGTGGGATGGAATAGGTGGATGGAAAGCGTGAGTGATTTAGTTTAATGATATTATTCAATTATAATATGATTAAACCTAGTTTTTATAATCTAACAACAAGGTTAAGACATTTAAATTAAACCTGAAACCCAGACCAGCCGACCAGCAACCCCCTAGCCAAAACTACTTAAAGAAATATTACCTTATATATTAAGAGAAAAATGAGTAAGGGTAAAATGTCAGAGAATAATTTTATGGTTGTGAATTGCGCTAGCTTACCTGAAGGCTTAGTTTCAATCATCACTACTTACATTAATGGTAGTGAAGGGTGGCAAAGACTAAAACAGTGTAAAGCATTAAGGGTCTTACAAAGGAAATGGAAACCGTCTATTTACACTGAACGAGTAGGAGAAAGTAGATATTATGTTGAGATTCGCAATAAATGCTTAAAAGGTGATAAAGCGCTTTCATATGCGTTGAAACCACCAAAAGAATTATTAAGAATGATGAAGTATGATGAAGAAATACAGGTTGGAATAGTAGTTAGTTCAAAAATTATGTATAATAATAATATTTGCAACAGTCGTTCTTATTCATCATCTAAACAGAATAAGATTTCAAGTAGAGCGTCATTACAATACCATATTGAACAAGCAGTTGAAGAAACCAAACAGACTATGAAACGACACGAAATCATTACTATCGAACATGTTGCAATTGAAATTTATAGAAAACAGAAACAATGATTTCATGGCTTAATCATAATATTTAATTATAATATGATTAAACAGTGTAAACTTTTATAACCTTTCATTATACTGTAATTTCAACCTATAAAACATAACTAGACAATCACATAAAAATCACATAAAAAGAAGTTGTTAAGATATATTAAGAAATGGTTGTGAAGCAAACTATAATGAATAATTATGGAATGACAGAAGAAAAAGCAACAGAAGACTATGGTGAATTCTTCAAATGCAACAGATGTCTTTATGATAAAACAATTGATGAATTTGGAAATGTAAAAAGTGGAAGAAGATATAAATATTGTCAAGAGTGTAGAACAAAAATAAATAATTGTAGAGATAAACGTCAAAGAAACAAACGACCCACCAACACCCCAGAACTTGATAACTACTAAAAGGGCTACCTCTTTCAAATGAAAAAAATGTTTGCCCCCAGCCCAACAATGAACAAGGCGACAATTTACCCAAATGATTACCTTAACGAAAACGATAAATAAGCTCCCTAAAAACCCTCTTTTAAAAACGAATAAGGGGGAACATAGATTTGAGATGAACATAAAAACCAGAACAGGCAACCATCAACAGACCACCCCCCAGGCCCCCTACTTTCTCCATTTTTTCCCCCCGCCCCCCCCAAACAAGAGTTTTGCTCCTTTTGGTTTCCCTATAAGATAGTACCCGAAAAAAATAGACGTGCCCGGTGAATTCGGCCTCCACCCCCCCCATGTTTGAGTGCATGGGGCAATTCCATCAAACTAAGGCGTTAAAGTGAAACAGGAAGAGCCAAACATGTAAAAAACAGCATGTGCTGCGATTTGGGCAACTGTGAAACCCAGTCAGCACATGTACCGCTAATGGCCCAAAAGGCGAAATTTCGTACAGGAAGTTTGTTTCAGGGGGCTCTGGTTCCACCACCCGCCGCGCCCTCCGATTCGTGCCGCCCTTTTGTTCCGCCCGGTTCCCTCAAACTCAACAGGCGGGGTTTCAGATCGGCTCGGCGGTGGGGCGGAACCGCGCCATCAACTTCAAGCGGCTTTGGGTGGACGCCTTCCTGGGTTCCTTCTTCAAACAGCTCCTCGCCGCCCTCATCGCATGTTGCGACACAGGTTTCTTTGTGGCTTCTGTGGTCAGTCTTAATTTGCGTGTGTTTCTTTGTTTTGTGTTTGTTTTTGTTAATGTGTCTTCGTTGTTATTCTTATTTATTGGGTCCTCATTTTATAGGGGTGCAAGGCATCAGAGCTTCAACATCAGCGATAGGGGGAGGTTCAAATTGGGGCTCACAAATTCGCCGAGTTCGGAGTTTGGCAACAAGTAATTCAACAACAAATGTCACCTTAGGCGGGGATCCAAAAGGAGGGTGTCCTAGCAGCGGCTTTGCAGGTTGAGAGAGTTTCCAGTGGCGGCACCCCGGTTTGCCGCTAGAAAAAACCCGTCTACCAGCCAAACAGGGCTCCAACTTCTTTGCCTTTTCTTACTGGGGCTCCAACTCCCCTTAAACCTGGGATTTGTTGCTGCGCTGTCGGCACATAGTGCCAAACACGCAACAGCTTCTTTCTTTGAGCTAAGGCAACGTTCACGGAACGGCCCCGTCTTGTTCCCTTGGCTCCCGTTCTGAAAACGTAAGAAAGGGTCCCACTATCACACACTACCCCCCAAGGTAAATTGGATGTGTCCTTTCCAAAGCAAAAATGGTTGTTATACAGTGGTTGCACAGCCCCCATGCCCCCTCATTTTTCTTCGGGGGTTGTGGATTGCGGGTGCTGGAGCCCTCTTAGATGTTGATGTTTGCGAGCTCACCGATTCGGGGCTACAAGCGAACGCCATGATAACGGTCCTGTACTTGGGGATCCGATTCTTAATTCAGCTTTTGGAACGATAAAACATGCAGATCAGATGGAGCAACACCAAGGATGCCAGGTGCGAAAGAGGGATGCTAGTTCCATCACATGGCGAGGCTTCAAATTGTTCTCACTTTGCATCGGTGCAGCATCCGTAGCCGAGGGGTACGGGACGCGCGCTCGTGGCATAACGCCTTGATGTGCCGAGGCTGTGGACGTTGCTCCGGTTGAAGGTTGCGCGGGTGAAGGGCAACCGGGTGAAGTGGGACAAGCTCGGCAACGTGCTGAAGGACCCACAGAGCGATCGGTACCCTTTCGGCTTTTGTGGCTCTCAGAACCTCCAAGTTGCCTAAGTGAATGTGTTTTATTTTGTTGTATGTCCCCTTTTGGTTTTAAAAGGGATCGATTTCACTACTGCACGAACATATGCTCACATTTGTTGCAGGGGGCTTAAACAAATGGAAGAAGCTCATCGACTTGGAACGGGGTGCAAATGTTGGATCGGTCATTGAGTTATCGTGTTAGGAAGCGGGAAACTCCATCGGTGGTTGAATGTCCGGGCGATGTCTACACCGCCTTTATGGAAACAGGAAAGGATCACAAAAACACACATGAAAATGTCCGTAACTGTTCTCATAGGAGGCTACTTCTGGCAGACCAAAAAAGTATTAAAGGGTCGGGTATGTCGGGTGATCAGTATTGAGGTATCCAGGCAAGCTTTGGTTCATAGGTATCGGCTTGTTGTCAATTTGTTTTCTTGGTGTTTGGTGGTTCCAAGGTCCTTTGATCTCCGCACAACTGGCTGGGCCTTAAGCCAATTCCAAGTCCTTCTCGGAGGTTGGCAAGTCGTCCAAGTGCCGCCTGTCTTGGGGCTGAAAAAATGGATGCGGGACCAAAGAACCCCCCCAAGGATTCAAAGTCAAAAATCCAAAGAAAGGTCTTCCTGTGTGTGTTGCGTGGATCGTTTTCACCTTGGTGCACTTGAAAAGGCCAAAACAAATCATGTCATCCAGTCATTCAGAAGTTCTCGTTTTCCAGGCCCCGGCCGCTGGCTGGGCCCCCCCCCCTCAGCTCAGCGGAGGAGTCGGTGATCCAGGGCCAAACGGCGCGGAACCTGGTGCTCACCAAGTTCGGGCGACTGCCCACCAAGTACGACCAGAACGACCCCCAGGCCAGGACTCCGATCTCACCAAAACATCCAACTGGGACCTCCCAATGGCTGGGACCTCCTGGAATGGCGGTTTTGGGGGCCATTTGCCTAGCCATGGGGCTGGCAAGTATTACCGTCATTGCCAGATGTTGCGTCTTATCATGCGCCGAGATCCGATCCGCCTGGGAGAAATGAGAGATGGACCCTGAATGGTTTGCGGGTCTTATCAATTCATGTCCTGGCAACTCAATTAAAGGAGCCGGTCCAAGCAGAACCAAACACCGCAATGCGCGGATTAGACGTTTCGACGCAACTCTGGGAACCGTTTTGGGGGTCATGGCTGGCTTTTTGGGGGGCGGTTTGGACCGGTTTGGAATTTTACGATCGATGTTGAACAGCCCCAAAGGGGGCTACATAGGCCATCTTTAGACAACCTGTTCGGTTTAGGCCATGTGCAAGGCTCTAGGATCCCGGGCCTTACCTCCCAGCTGTGGCCCTCTTGGAGCTATGATTTCCGCACCGTCAAGATAAAAAGTTTGATTATTTTTTCGTCCAGTTGGTGAATCTTCACTCCGGAACGCTTCTTTTGACAGTGCACTGGCTGCCGAACGCCGCTGAATGAGCCCGAACGCTTCCGTGGGAGAACGAGCGCAAATTTGAGAGCTAGTGAGCGCAATTACATATATATATATATATATATATATACTATAGTACTTGAATGTTTCGGAATGGTAAGGAAGTCCAGTGCTATTTGTGTCCACACTTCTGCCAAACAAAACTGTTTTCCGTGGAAATTATGCCTCTGAGGGTAAGCCGTCCTTTGGTGTTTCGCGGGGGCAACCCTGGATTGACCATGTGATCAGGGCATCCTTCGAGGGTGACATATACGCATCTCTCCTCCTGGGTCCGGTCCGATTTCAGAAGGTCGATGATTTGAAGAGCATGATGTTCAACGAGGGCCAGGCTGCATGCGATCCATATGTAAAGCTAATGTAAGCCCTAGATAGTTGGCAGATGAAGCACTGACTATGGCTTGATGTGAAAGCCCCCCAAAGGGTCCTTATTCCATCTTCCTCAGACTAGGCCGGACTTCAAACAACCCCACCTGGCTTGGGGCTCTTAAGGCAGGGATAAGGTCAAAAGGCTGGGGCGCGTATGGCCTTTTGCGATTTTTTGAGGGTACCCGATGGAAAACCGAAGCCACGGTTGGGGTCCCTCCCCCTTTAACTTGCTGGTGCTCAGTAGGATAATGAGAGAATGCACCTGAGAATGCTCGAATAAAGGAAACCAAATCGGGGATCATTCCGTTTCTCAGGGCCCTGCATCTCTCGCAGCAGCAAGATATTTAGCACTCACCTTCTGTTTCTATCTCCTTTGGGGCATTGGGAAAACTCCTGGGCCGCAATCAAAGCCCGGATAGATCAAGGTTAGGGGCAGTCCCAGCCGGAAATAGTTGCGGCTGCCTTTTTGATGTCCAGCAGCATGGTTTTGGTCTTGCACCATTTCTTGCTGGTGCTCCAAGATAACACCCCGATTGATCAGCTGGCAGGTCTTACAACTGCTGCCGTCCAAGTGGGTGCCAGAGATTGGGTTGCCCCTGGCGAGCGGCATCGGCCGGGGCTTCATGACCAAGCGCCTGCTGCGGGCAAAACCGGGAGGGGTGGGGCAAAACGGGAGGCTGGAGGGGACTTGTTTGGCGTGTTTTTGTGGGATTTCTTTAGGCCAGGCAGCCCGCTTTTTTCAGAAAATCCCAGAGTCTCTCACTGATTTGCTCAGGCCACACCCCCTTTTTCAGAAAGTTCCAGAGTCTCTTGGGGAGAAACAGTCGCCCGTTCAAGTTGACGACATCCCTTTCGGGCTTCTGGGCGCTTCGGAAGCCTTCCGTTTCTGCCGGAGGCTCCTTCCGGGCTCCAACTTCCTGGTCTGTGACCTTCAAAGGGGAGCCTTAAAATGGAGAACTTTAAATTGCCGACTTAGGTCACAGTGACGTTGACCCCATGTCCACCGCTTGATTCCAAAGCTTAGTGACCACGTTGACCCTCCACCAACCGCTTGATTCAGCTTGCTCCCCCGCAAATTGACATGGACCCCAGAGAACGCCTTGTGGAGGAGACTCGTGGGGATGCTGAGCCCCCCGGTTCCTTCCATTAGGTGAATCATTGCCAACTGGGCGTGTCGTTTGTTTAGGATCTGGACCCCCAGAATGGATTCCGGTTGTCGGTGTTCCTTGCGGCTTTCCCTTTGAAACCCACCGCAAATTATGGACCTCTACGGGGGGGCATGGGGAGGGGGGGCTATCCCTTATTCACCCTTGAGATTCAATAAGGCGTTCTTTGGCTTATCCTGGGCTACCCCATAGCCCCCCACCCTTCAATAAGGCCTTGTTTGGCTTGGGCTTATCCTGGAAGAACCCCCACCCCCTATAGCCGACCCCCCCGAGGGTGACATGCCCAGCGGCTGTGCTGAGGTGGTGGAAGGGCTTCCGTGCAGGGCTGCGCCGGAAATACGTCAGGCGGCATGCGGAGACCGACTCGGAGACAGACGTCACTGTGGCCACGATTTGCGCTATTCACATTCCCGAATGTTCGAAGTTTCACTAATTGTCACTAAGTGTTCACTTGAAAAGTAGTGGGCAGTTAGTGAACATAGTGAACTGTAGTGAAGATTCCGGAAAGTTAGTGAAAGTGAGTTGTTGCCACTGTTCACCAATTGTCTTGTCACAAATTGTGCAATGCTTGCACTAAAAGCAATCACAAAGTATTTTCCATCTTTTGCCTCCCATCGGCAATCTTAAACTTAGAGTCTGATTAACAGTCTGTGTTGTAACCTCATCCTTGAGGGCTTAGTTGTTTGGAAAATATTTGTCAAAGTTGGTGAACTTGCAAAACAACAACTAGAAGTAACCTTCACTAAATTTCACTAACTGTTACTAATTGTTCCCTAGTTAGTCAATTTAGTGAAGTTAGTGACAATTAGTGAACTTGGCACAATGGCAGAAGTGGCCAAAAATCACGTTCACTATATTTGACTAATGTTCACTACAGTTCGCTTATGTTCACGCATTGCTCACTAAAATAATGGTAGACATTAGGTCAATGTTGAAATTTAGTGAACCTTAGTGAACATGAGTAGCTCGAATGAAAATTAGAAGTGGGCACACATCACGTTCACCAATTGTCACGAATGTCCGGCAATGTCACTAAAGTTGTCACTACTTGTTCACTCAAAGCTGGGTGAACATCAGTGACATTTAGTGAAATTGAGTGAACAATCAAGCAACTTTTCGGTTTCTGGGCCCCCTTCGGCCTTCTGCCCTTCAGGCTGGGCTAAGGGAAACCAAGGGAAAACCTTTAGCTCCCTGGACACACGCACAGATTCTCCTAAGAAACCATAGGCCGACATGGCCTCAAGAAGCCATGAGAAAGTGCAGCAACCTTGGTTTCGGGGAAGCTTTGGCATGGATGTAGCCCATGCTTGGCTACTCGTTGGGTTACCCTCCTGTCCATGTTGCCATGGAACCCATCCTTTTAAGGAATAGTCTTCCAGGACCCCTTTCAGTTGGGCTCCATGTTGATGGACAGGAGGGTATGGGTTACTTCTTTGCTTCGCTGGCTCATGTTTGTTGGAGGACGACCAATCCAAGTCCGAATAAGGTGTCCCTGAGCAAGGTGGCGTTTGTCACAAGGACCGGCCTAGGTTTGTGCTCACTTCCCAGGTGCCATTTTTGGACTTTCATCACTTTGATTCACTTTGTAAGTTTGGACCATTTCAGCAACCAACTCACCCAGGGAGTAAGTTTATCAGCTTACCCCGAAGTGGTGGTTAGTAAACCCGTGGTTTACTGGTTAGGGGGTGGTGTCCCATTGACACCTCAAGAACCAGAGCTTCAAATCCAAATCCCAATCCAAACCACACGGGTTACCTAAGTTTAGGCATCCTCATGGAAATGTCACTAAGCTTCGTGTGTGTGTGTGTGGTGTGTGTGTGTGTGTGGTGTGTGTGTGTGTGTGGTGTGTGTGTGTGTGTTTGTGTGTGGTGTGTGTGTGTGTGTGGTGTGTGTGTGTGGTGTGTGTGTGTGTGTGGTGTGTGTGTGTGTGTGGTGTGTGTGTGTGTGTTGTGTGTGTGTGTGGTGTGTGTGTGTGTGGTGTGTGTGTGTGTGGTGTGTGTGTGTGTGGTGTGTGTGTGTGTGGTGTGTGTGTGTGTGGTGTGTGTGTGTGGTGTGTGTGTGTGTGGTGTGTGTGTGTGGTGTGTGTGTGTGTGTGTTTGTGTGTTTGTGTGTGGTGTGTGTGTGCGTGGTGTGTGTATGGTGTGTGTGTGTGTGTGTGGTGTGTGTGTGTGGTGTGTGTGTGTGGTGTGTGTGTGTGTGTTGTCTGTGTGTGTGGTGTGTGTGTGTGGTGTGTGTGTGTGTGGTGTGTGTGTGTGTGTGGTGTGTGTGTGTGTGGTGTGTGTGTGTGTGTGGTGTGTGTGTGTGTGTGGTGTGTGTGTGTGGTGTGTGTGTGTGGTGTGTGTGTGTGTGGTGTGTGTGTGTGTGTTGGTGTGTGTGTGTTGGTGTGTGTTGGCGTGTGTTGGTGTGTGAGTGTGTGTGAGTGTGTGTGTGAGCGTGTATGAGGTTGTGAGTGTGTGTGTGTGTGAGTGTGTGTGTGTGAGTGTGTGTGTGATTTTGTGTGTGTGATTTTGTGTGTGTGTGTGCGGAGTGACAGAATGCCCTGTCACCACCCTTTCGGTTTCTCAGCAGGGGGGCAGTGGATCGCCATCACTCACTGCTCAAGGAAGACAGTGATGGTTTGGTCGTGAAATCCGGAAGGGACGCCTTCTGGACGTACCTGCAATTTGAGAAAGTCGTGATGCTCTGAACGTCCTTTTGGTCCCCCCCTGAACCGCTGTTGCTTCCTTGTTTCCCTGTTGAAGTAACTACAGGGAAGCCAAGTGACCAGCAAGCCGATGGGGTTTGTCCCCAGTTGTACTCGAGACTCATCAGTTGTACTCGAGACTCATCAGTTGTACTCGAAAGATTAGCACTCTCCATTTGGAGTTTAAGTGTGTACACCCCATTCGTGGGGAATCCTCGGGTGTACCCATTGTGTGACCCCGGGCCGGCTCTGTCGGAAAATTTGACCTCAACGTGCTTATCATAGAACAGCGGAATTTCACATTTAACCAGGAACGAGGTCTCACTAAAGGGAAGACAGCGGTCAGATCATAGAGACGTCTCACCATCGATGTTTGCTTGCCATTTGTTGGATTCGTTGATACCTTGCCGTTGCATGGATTTGCTTGTTGTCTGATACGTGTCTCTCAAGATGGAAGCGTGAAGATTGAGAGTCGATTGTGTAACCATGTCTCGACGTGAAGATCGTGATAGATCCAGGACTCGGCGCAGACGTGATCGGAGTACTTCTCCTCAGGCTCGTAAAGCACACCGACGTGAACACAATGACCACCACGTCTCGGAAGGCATGGATTGGAACAACCTGGTATCTTGGCAACACAATTCCGGCTACAACTCTGCCAACAATTTCCCGATGATGCCCACCAATTTTCAATCGACTCACAGTCCCACACAGCAATTCCAACACCCAGCGATCAACTACATGATGCCGATCCCTCCAGACCCCACGCCAACGAAGTTCATGCCACCCGTGATGCCACCACCGGTCACTACTCCGCAACCTACACCGCCACCTGGACCTCCTGCGGCTCTACCGGTTCGCCCTCAGAAAGCCTGGCTTACACCATCGCCTGACTGGACACCTGGAGATGGCATGTTTGATGTCAATCAGCTCTACAACTTTAGCCTGCCCATGACCGTTGCCAACACTCCGCATGGCAACCTGCGCGACATGTCAGGCATGGATATTCGTGACGTTCGCCTGGTTCAGGTTATTCATGGGGGCCTCACCAACTGGCTGCTCCGACCGTTCGCTCACGGCAGATTCGTGACGTGGGAAGGCTTTCGCACTCGCACCGAGGCCTTACTTTGGAGTACCTGTTCCAAACTACTACGACGATCACAGTCGATCAACCTGCTCACCCTGGAAAAGGACCTTGCCAACTCGCTGGGTCTCAACATCGATGACTTCAATCAGCGGATCAAGGTTCATGACCATTTGGCCAGCTTGGTACTTCAATTTCTTCAGCAACACCACGCTTCTCTCACACCTTCCACCCAGACAGATGACATGGTCAAGAAGTACAATGATCTAAATCGTGCGCATGAGCTGCTCCAGGCTCAGTATTCAGCATCGCTGCGCGCTTCGACCTCTCCCACGATGGCAAGCCAGAAAGATGATGCAGAGTTGGTTACACCGCCACCGGTCAACCACACACAATCCTCGTCACCTGCCAGCTCCCTCCCTACAGCCAGCGCAGCGGCCCTTGATGGCAAGTCGTTTGATAGCGCGGTGCAACCCCGGATCATTCAGTCTCTTCACGGAGTGTCTTCACCGCCGTCCAAGCCGGCGGCGTCACAATTGCTCACCATGCACAGCACGCCGGAAGAAGTTGTCAAGTACTACACATGGACCAGTGACCAGCCACGCCTTTATCTCAAGCAATCGCCCACAACCACGACTTTGACGTCACTGGTCAAGTGGGCCAATCACCCGTCCCGGCTCAACGGCAACAAGTCATTAGATTCCATGGCGACGCAGCTCCTTCAAGCGCGTCAACGCATGCCGAAAGGCGACGCACCTACTCTCGGGGCGATGGCGGCTTCGTGGGGACTGGAGCCCGGCTATCTCACCAAGCTCACTGAGAAGGCATTGAGTCACCTCATCGTGACCGCTCGCCTACTCAGCGGATGAGCAGGCATCTTAACGACCTTCGTTCTCTTATGAGCCCGGAGCGGCAACCGTGTCACGGATGAGTCAAGGTTAAAACTCGTCCGTCATCTTTCTGCGTTGCATCAGTTTGATCTTGTGCTTGGTTGTGCTTGCATTGCCTTGTGCGTGATTGTCTGTGCAGCTTGTATCCATGTCGCCGCCTTATGGTAGATTTCATTGGTTGCATTTTCACCATGTTGGATGAGCTTCGCCGCTGTGGAATCTATGATGATGTTGCACAATGGCAGTCTCTGGACAACTTTTTACACTCGTTGACCATGTTCTCTACGTGCTGGCAATACTGCTTCCCTGGACTACCACCACCGTCGATACCAGCTGATGAGTACGAATCAATCACACAACTACCGTGGTTGGGCCTCATTCTGGAAGTCTTAGTTGTGGTCCGGATTGCCCTTCAGATTCCGAATCACGCTATGTCACACTCTCAACACACTGTGGCCAACAGGTATGAGATTCATAGATGTCGGTGCACTGCCTATTTATTGATCAGTTTCTTACAACGTCTCATTTCCCAAGATCATGGCTACTTTCCGCCGTTCTTTGAAGTCCTTCACTTCTACAAGGCTTCTCTCTTGTGTGAAATTATGCACTCCACTTTTGCCGACACGCGACATCTTCGCTCATTGCGGGCACGATTTCCGGACCTCTATGACTTCATTCACGATCCAGG